CCACAACAGCATCCACTCAAGTATCCTTGTGTGTTCGGGTGTGTGTGTGTGTGCCTGGCAATTTTCCTCAATACAAATGTTTCAATCATAGAAATCATTTAATAATCTCATTATTGAATGCCAAGCATCATTAATGCGATTCATTTGAATGTCAGCCGCTTCGTGGCAAAAGCGATTTTCATTAACGCCCCAGCCATGAGATTGAGAGCGCAACAATTGCCACACAATTTACGTCAGAACAGTAAAGTCAGCAATTGAATGGAATTCCGTACCACCACCCACTCTACACTTACCAACCTTGGCAGCGAACCTTGTAAATTGTCACAATTTTAAGTGGAAAACTTAAACCCATTTCAATGTTGAAGAAGAAAAAAAAAAACATGGAAATAACAGGAATTTGAAGTCATAATGAAACAGCAACACGACAACAACAACAACAGCAAAAAACATCCTTTGCAAATGGAAAACTTTTTTTCTTCTTCTTCTTCTCACAAATCTTGTGCTTCTGCCACAGGTGGCTAGGTGTGTGTGTGGTACGGTTGTGGTTTTTAAGCTCCCACGGGATACTTAAAATTAATTCATTTCCAAATGAAGAAAATGAAAAAAGAAAAGGCAGAACCCACACCTTGCGTGGGGTACACACACGAACTCACATACACACACACACGCTGATGTATTTCCACTTTAATGAAGATTATTTGTATTCCGCCATGGGCGGTGCTATTCAGCAGGCAGCTGGGTTGGTGGCAATGTATTTAAAAAAATACATATATTTGACATAATAGGGACAACAACAACAAAATAATGGAATTATATCCTTAAAACCTGAAGATTATAAACAACAACAACGACAACAACAGGGTCTGCTATGTTAAATGTATGAGCTTGAGGGAGTGTTTAAGAAGCTTTTTTACTCTGTGTCTGTTTTCAATAAAAAGACACCATGGGAGTAAATGTTTGAAAATTGTTTTGGAAATTAATTTGGGGAAAAAATGTAATATGTAAATGAACATATGGCGTGTAAATTGTCTGCTTTCCAAACAGGTAACCGGAATAATGTAATAACACTGTGGAAAAGTTCCAAAGTCATAGTCTGTTTTATGGAAAATTTCAGGATTTAATGATGGCATTAAGTTTGTAGAGCATAATATCCGAAGGGTATGAAGTTCGCAAAAAGAAATAAGACATGGAAAATTCAGAAGATCATGAAAGTAGAGCTTACATGGTTAAAAAGTATCAGTCGGTTTGTCCGAGAGATGTACACCCTCACCCAATGTTCTATAATCTACATTAATAACTGAGTCATACGAAACAATTGAAGCTATAATAATAAAATTTTGGGTGAGGGTCACTTGGTCCGAAGGGGTTACATAAGGCTGGGTTTTTGGAAATTCATACATACATACCCTTGGTATTTGACGAACCGTAGAACTAGAGTGATGGTCACTGATGGTATTAATGATAGATTTATCAAAGGGTTTTTGGAAAAGTAGTAAAATTTTCTACATTTGGTACCAATTAGTATAGTGTGAACGGTTAGAGTTAAAAACTTGAAATTTGGGAGAGGAATTCAGATTGAGCAGTACAAGATGAGATAAAACAACAGCAACAAAGTCAAACGCCATAATTTTAATGTTTTTATCCTTCACCATACTATTTAAGGTATATTAACTTTGTCATTCCGTTTGTAACTCCTCGAAATACTCATGTATTATATTCTTGGTCAGCGTACAATTCAAGCGTAAAATAGCGATGTCCGTCAGTCTGTATATATATAACCCCCATATAACTGTACTTCCCGATATTCGATATTTTGATGATTTTAGCGACATTCTTTACCGGAATCTTTCAAATTTGGTATTTCAAGTTCCAAAGGGATACTACAGCCTAAGACAGATAATTGTCTGGGCAGGCCCACGTCTTCGTATAACACCCATTTAACGGTACCTTCCGATATTCGGTATTTTGATAATTTTAGCGACATTATGCACCGGAATAATTTCAAATTTGGTATTTGAAGTTCGAAATGGATAGTACAGCCTAAGACAGAAAATTGTCTGTGCAAGTCCATGTCTTCGTATAGCCCCCCTATAATGATAGCTCCCGATATTCGGTATTTTGATGATTTTAGCGACATTATTTACCACAATTGTTTAAAATTACGTATTTAGAGTTCGCAATGGCAACTACAGTCTGTGACCGAAAATTGTCAATGCAGGTCCGGGTTTTAGTATAGGCCCCATATATCAGTACCGCCCTATATTCGGAATTTAGGAACAATACTCACCGATGTTGTTTGAGATGTCATATTTGAAGTTCGTAAGGATGCTACAGCCTGTGACACAAAATTGTCTATGCAGGTCCAGGTCTTCGTATAGCTGCGATATAACGGTAACTCCCACCATTCATTTCCAGTTTCGTACTTGAATATGTAGGTCCACGTCTTATAGACCGAAATATAACGGCTATATTCGGTATTTTTAAGATTTTAACAGAATTTTCAACGGATTTATTTTTTTTAACATTTTCAAATTCATTCCAAATGGTGGAGGGTATTCAAAGTTCGGTCCGGCCGAACTTACTGCTTTTTAATTTGTTTAATTTTATTGAATGAAAGCAAAAAATATCGGAAATAGAATTGGTCACCTTTGGCACGAATTATGGCCTTCAAACGGCCAATGAATCCGTCACACGCTGCCCGAATGTTGCTCTGCGGTATCTTAGCCCATTTCCCGGCGAAGTGCATAGTTGATAGATTTTGCACAAATTGGATGATCCGTGTTCTATTTAGTAAATTATTTTCTGTGAAAATTTTTTCCCTTTTTGGGGGGAGTACCAGAAGGAGTGGACCGATATTGCCCATCTCTGAACTCGATCTGAGTTTGTCAAAAAAAAAATTCCCTTGAAACGGATTTGGTCCAAAGAGACCTAGAGTCTCAAACCGTTATTTCGATGAGGCACGCTGTATATTTTCGATGAGGCTGAGGGTATAAAAATAAAAGTCTCATATATTGGGCATTTTGTAACTTTACATCTCAAAGTAATTTGAGTATAGAGGCCAATTCCCCTCTTCCACATTTTTTGAAAAATTCGGAAGGTCCTTGAAAAAGAATTAAAAAAAAACTGTCCTTGTCTTGTAGATTTTCACAACCTTACCCAAAGGCTACAGAAGGTATCGAATAACGGTTTTAGACCCCATAACTCTTTGGATCAAATCCATTTCAGAACATTTAGAGTCGATCTAAGGGTGTTCGTCTGTCTGGCTGGCTGGTCCGCACAATAACTCTCAAACGGATGTGAAATAAGATTCCTATTATCTTCAAATTTCACACATCTGAATATTTTTACCATCACAAGATCTGGTACCAAGACAGAATATATCGGACCAATCCTCTTGGCACCTCCTCGACAAGGGGTCAAAAAATTAAATAATAATATCTCTCATAAATTGCGGAATGAGCATCCGATTCATTCTAAACTTCATACATTCCAATAGTTTTAGTAACACGAGATAAAGCTCATAAAACGGGAAATAAGCATTCAATTCCATTCAAACTCCTTCTATCCCAATAGCTCCCTCAACATAAGATCTAGTGTGAATAAGGAATATATCTGACCACTCCATCCAGTACCTCCCCCACGAAGGGTTAACATTTTGAATTATTTTAAATCTGAAAATGTGAAATAAAAGTCCTTTGTCTTCGAAGTTGGCACATCTTAATATCTCAATATTTCTATCAACACAAGATCTGGTGTTAATATGAAAAAAATCGGACCACTCCTTCTGTTACTCCCACAATATAATAGTAATGCTTAAGAGAAATTGGCTGGTGAGCAATTTCTGGTTCTTGAGCAGCCCTGTCAAGAAAACATTTGGTACATTTATCATACATCCCATCAGCGACCACCATTTCAAAATTTGGACTTGGACTGAATTGAATATTCATAATTGGACTGAGGTTTTCGAATTGGTTTAAAGCAATCAAGGCACAATAGTAATCCTCCTATTTGGAAATGCTATAAATTTTGCGAATGTCCCCTAATGTCTTAATAACAGCCAAAAAACATCGGAAGTTTACTTTGCGCCACCTTGTACATGCATACGTACTTGACCAAAGTTTTTTGCCTGTGATTAAGACATTAGAGGTCAATCGTAATATTTATAGCATTTTCAGATAGGAGGAATACTTTTGCGCCACCTTGTATAAATATCGATCAAAAATAATGTTTTAAGTACTTACCTCATATATTAATCGTGGATTTTTTAGAGACTTCCTGGTTAAATTCATGGATTCCTAAAAATATTTTTTTCAAAAACATCCCGATAAGTCGTTTTTTTAATATTATTTTTTTCAAGGACCTCAAGTAAAATCTTCTGGATCTCTGTTTTTATTAAAAATATTCATCTAGAAAATTCTGAGTAAATCAAACCACAGGCGTAGCATATGGTTCATATATGGACTCATATAAGCAATTACGTCTGAGGATATACACCTATCAGCAAAACGACTGATCCTTTGTTCTATTTTTTCAATTTGAACAAATTCTACCCATTGTGCTTAAATCTGCTCTAAAAATAGCCGAATCTATTCGTGGCCCACCACGAATTCCCAAAACACTTTACAAAAAGAAAATCCTAATAGGATTTTAATAATTTGTAATGAATGGACAATGGAAATACAATTCTAATGGCAGAATAATAACAACAAAACACTTAAAAGCCTAAGACTAAATCCAAATAATCATCTTCAAGTAAAGCAACCAAAAAAGACGAGCAACCAAAATCTGAATTGAATAATTCATTACCATATAATTTTTTTCCACAAAAAATATTAATGTATTTGAAGTTGGTCATGATGACCCAGCTTAGAGTCAATTATTTAAACATTATTTATTTAAAAATAAAGAAAACAAATTGAAAAGAAGTAAACCTCACTCAAATCCAAGTAAACCTTTTTTTTCGTAAGCATTAAAAATGTGTTTTCTTCTCTTCGTTGCAGGTTATTTTGGTACTGAAGGCCTTCAACCTCTATGGGACGTCGCATGCAACCGTAATCATACAGATTATCTCACATGTCTTGGCCTACACAAATTCGTGTATCAACCCCATACTGTATGCCTTTTTGTCGGACAATTTCCGAAAGGCATTTAGAAAGGTATGCAAAACACAAACAATACCCAGGCACGCACACAAACACACACACACATTTAGACGTACTCACTTAGGCAGTATTAGGGATTTACGGGCTAATGCTACACCCACACACACACACATACATACATATTTAATTTTGTAGATCCAAAATGTTTAAAGGATTTAAAAAGTTTCCATTTAATATTAAAATGTATATTTTTTTCTTCTTGTTTTTCTCTCCCTCCCCTTCTCTCCATCTCCTCCGTAGATTGTTTGGTGCGGTAGTCCACCACCCATTGTCACAAATCAACAAATAACAAAAACAACGCGCACAGCAACCGGAAATGGTACCTCCAACATCGACATGCTGTAGATGCAGACAACACCAACATCATCTGACCATAGTTGTAGTCGTGTCATCATCATTGTTGTCGTCATCGTCGCTGCTGTTATTGTTGTTGTTATTATTATTGCAGAGCAAGTACAACGACCACAAGATTTTTCAGAAAAAAAAGAGCTATAGCTGTCTTTGGTAGTTATAGGTGTTAAACGGAACAAGTTACTTAGGTATGTATGAGTATTTTGTTAATTTTTGTATTTGGGTGGAATGGAAAATCGCAGGGAAACATGTGAGGGAAAAAAATAGAATGTATAGAGGTGAAAAATTGATACTTTGTACCATTTATTCAACCCAGTCAGAAATAACGAACATATCGACGTATTTCTTTTTTTTTTTTTTTTTTGTGGCTTGATTTTGAACAATATTCCTTTTTGTGACGTCATCGTTCTTATTATTGGATGGATATTTCGCACTGACTCAACTGAAGTATGGCTTCAAATCTATAATGTGTTTCTAATATATTTGCAATTTTGGCATTATGGTATGATTTTGACGACTTCTAGGATTTACAGTAGGTCTAGGACCTAGAAGGTATATATTCATCTTCAGCATAATTCTATGTCGATTTATCGATGTCCGTCTGCCCGTCTGTGGGAATCACTCTAGCTTCCGAACGAAATTAAGTAGGTTGATAAAATTTTACTCAAATGTATATTATGTCTGCAGGACTTTTGCTATTGAAAATGGGCCATGTAGGTCCACGTTTTAGTATAGCCCCCATACAATGATACCTCCCTATTTTTGATATTTTGGTGATTTAAGCGACATTATTCACTGGAAATGTTTCAAATTTGGTATTTGAAGTGCGCAATGAATACTACAGCCTATGAAAGAAAATTGTCTGTGCAGGTCCAGGTGTTCGTATAGCCCCCTTATAACGGTATCTCCTGATATTCGGCGTATTGATGATTTTAGCGACATTATTTACCGGAATTGTTTCAAAGTTGGTATTTGAAGTTCGTAATGAATACTACAGCCTTTAAGCGATTTGATTTTAAACATCCTTAACTTAGATCGAGTTCGGAGATGGGAAATATCGGTCCACTCCCATCTAGTGCCTCCCATTTAGTACCTCCCCACAAAAGTTCAACATTTTCAAAGAAAATTATTTATCGGTCCACTAAATCACGTACCTCCCCCACAAAGGGTGAACATTTGAACAACTATAACCCGCTTGAAATGTAAAATAAGCATCCGATTCTCCTCAAGTTTCGCGCATGCCAATATTTTTACCGACAGAATACCTGGCAGGAAGACCAAATATATGGGACTACACCTTCAGGTACCTCTCACAGAACGGTTCACAATTTTGAAATATTATATAGTTAAGAAATGCGAAATAAGCATCCGATACTCTTCAAATATCCCCAGAAAGGTGATTAAATTTTAATTAATAAAAATGTGAGATAGACCCATTGTTACTTTTGAGGATCACTTTCTAAGTCGATTTATGCATGTCAGTCCTTCTGTCCATTTTTGCGAACAAACAGCAGGTCTCATTTATTATCCGATTGTCATAAAATTGTCCAAACAATAATGATTAGCCGAAGGACGAAACATATTCAAATTTGTGGAAATCGGTACAAATTAAGATATAGCTCGCATACATACCTTTAACCGATTTCGGGTTATTTGTATACCAAATGACCAACATCAGTCCAAATGACCTGAATTTTGGCACATCCGACCGAATTCTGCCTAGAAGCAAGCACATCAAATTCGGTTCAGATATAGCCATAGCTTCTTCTATGCACTCCAGAACAGACTTTGGCACCAGATATCAGCCCAGAATTGTATCTGTCAAATTTTATCGAGATCGGATCAGATTTAAATATAGCTCCCATATATTTTCTTATCCGATATCAGATTTATTGTACACCAAATGTCTAATATCAGCCCAAATGGACTGAATTTTGGCAATTCCGACTGAATTAATCGTCAAATTTGGTGAAAATCGGTTCAGATATAGCTATAGCTCTCATATATGTATGTTTCATCTGTTTTGGGGTCTTAAGTCCCTCATATGGTTAATATGCACTCGAGAACAATGATTTTTGGTATCAGATATAGCTCAGAAATAAATGTTTCCAGATCGGTTCAGATTTGGATATAGCTCTCATATATATCTTTATTCGATTTCAGGTTTATTGTGCACCAAATCTTAATATCAGCCCGAATGGACCGAATTTTGGCACGGAATCCAGCCCAGAAACAAGTACTTCAATTTTGGTGAAAATCGTTTCAGATATGGCTATAGCTCCCATGTATAAATATCTTATCCGATTTGGGGTTTTATTTTCTTCACATGCGTAGTATGCACTCCAGAATAGTGATATTTGATACTGGACATCAGATACAGCTCAAAAATAACTCTTTATATACCTTCGATATACATATTTATCCGATTTTACGGTTGTTGTCCACCATATAAGAAATATCAGCCCGTATTGGATTAGATTGGATTTTTTCACATTCATCCGAATTTTTTCATCTTGTGAAACGCGAATCCGATATATAATTGTTAATATAATTCTTCTCGAAGTGATAGCATGCACTATATATCAATGTTATTTGATATGATAGCCTCCGTCAAATTTGGTGAAAATCGATTCAGAATTGGGTACATCTCCCATAAATTAGGTACACCTGCTCTAAAGCTATGATCCGCATTCAACTAAGATTCATAGTTGGCATGATCTACTTCACATAAATTCCCAAAATAAACTTTTTTTGTTACGGGAGCTCTACTAAATACGCATAGTGTTTAGGGTGTCATATAGTCGGCCCCGCCCGACTTTTGACCTTTCCATACTCTTTTTCTATTTTTTTGCCACTGTGAACTTTTAACACTTATTGCGGACGCATTATTTCCCCGACGGTCAATTAGGCATTTATTGCATCCGCAATGATCTTTAAACGAAGCAAAATAATAAGGTACATTTTAAAGGGGGGCTTATCGAATTGAAGCCCAACGTATCAAATTATAAAAGTAAATTTTGCTAAAAATATTGGGTCGAAGTAGTTTTAAAATAAATAGACATACATTCTTTAAAGCGTTTTGAATTTGGATCCGTAAATCCACATACCATCAAACCAACATGGAATTCCCCCTCCCACAGATTTTGACCTTCAAATGGTTTCTCAGAAAAATTAAAAAACATTTACTCAGCATCTGATATCTAGTATTTCATTTAAGAACAATGTTAAACCTTACTTAGAAATCACCTCCAAATTATTCTCTGGGAACCCATTTTTTTACAACAAGAAAGATAGAATGGTAAAAGGGTATCACATCTAGTAGTCTCCCATTCCAACTATATTTCTTAACAGTTATGGATATAATTTAAAACATTTCTACCATTTTTCTTTAATATTCTTGAATTTCCTGCCGAACTTAAAATGTAAAAGACATTAAAGTGTCCAGACTTTAATTTTATTCCGACATAAATTTAATGCAACATAAATTTCTGCAGGTCTTACGCTCTCCATCTCCATAGAAAATATATGTATACTAACATGTGTAAATTGTTATTAATTAATTTAATTGAATTCCGGCTACTTTCAGTAATTAAAAGTGAACAACAAAAAGACTTGAATGTGTGTGAGTGTGCGTGTGTGTAAGAGTGTGCGCAACGAGTACCAAAGCTGAAAGGCCGGAAACCAGCACAACAAACACCACAACCATTTTCATCCATGCAACCAACTGTTACTAGCAAACATCCCTCCAAAGAGCAACCAGTCAGCCAGCCCCCCCTCCAACAACAACAACAACACAAAACCCATTATTAAGTGAAAACAAAGAACTAACGTCGCGGCCATAGAAATTCGACAAACAAAAATAATTTTACATCTACAATGGAAAGTCTTCAACAAACCACACATTTGTATGTGTAAGTATGTATGAACATAGAACTTATGCAGACAACATGGAGCGCAACCCCAATGCATGAACGGTAACAAACATTGTTTTACTGTTGCTCTCTTTATCAAACTTGGCTGTTCGTTGCAAACATCAGCCAGGCCATAAATCTACCAAACAAACTAATAAACTAAAGTTTAATGAAGCCAGCCAGCCAACCAGCCCCTCCTCCCCCACAAGCAATTCCTTCAGCCAACAAATGAAAATAAACAACGCACGAGTATGTTGGCAGTCATGCTGTTTGTTCAGGCAAACCAAAAACAAAATTGATCAAGTTCATTTTCATTATTTCATACAAATTAACTAATAAATTCAAAAAAAGCCAGAGAAATATTTACTCCGGCGTTTGGCCAAAATACAACAAATGGGATCCACTGAATGCGTAAGATATCCTTGAATTCGCTCGAAAATGTTTGGGTGTTTTTCGACCAGTTTTGATAAAAAGTTCTAAATTGAATTATAATTAAACTCACTAGGGTCAGATCTGCATTTGTAAGGCTTTTGAGGAGCTGATTTATTTCGAGCATTTTTATACTCTCCACCATAGTTTGGAGGGTACATTAACTTTGTCATTCCGGTTGTAACTCCTCGAAATACTCATGTCAGACCCAACAAAGTGTATATAATCTTGATCAGCGATGTCCGTCGGTCTGTCTGTCCGTCTGTTGTAATCACGCTATCTTTCGAACGAATTGAGATAGAAGGCTAAAATTTTTCACACATATTTATTCTGCAAGTAGGCTTAGTTCGTTCCAGTATATTAAGTTCGTAAATGGGCCAGGTAGGTCCAGGTTTTCATATAGCCCCCATATAACGGTACCTCCCGATATTCGGTATTTTGACGATTTTAGTGACATTATTCACCGGAATTGCTTCAAATTTGGTATTTGAAGTTTGAAATGGTTACTATAGCCTATGAGAGAAAATTGTCTGTGCAGGTCCACGCCTTCGTATAGCCCCCATATTACGATACCTCTCGATATTCGGTATTGTTATGACTTTAGCGACTTCATTCAGCGGAGGTGTTTCAAATTTCGTATTTGAAGGTCTTAATGGATACAACAGCCTATGACAGAAAATTGTCTGTGCAGGTCCATGTTTTCGTATAGCCCCCATATAACGATACCTCTCGATATTCGGTATTGTTAAGACTTTAGCGACTTTATTAACCGGAGGTGTTTCAAATTTCGTATTTGAAGGTCTTAAGGGATACTACAGCCTAGTACAGAAGA